TTGATTTTGTTAAATAGTAAAAGGCTTTGGGGGGTCTGGAGTGTCTGAAAAATGGAGCTGGGGGCAACGCTTTCTCCACTCCTATTTTATGTCATGCCATAATCTGGGCTGGATATGCAGCAAGCAGCCCAGTAATTTCTGAGATCACAAATTTTCCTTCCATGGAAATGCTTTGGCTCAGAAATGGTGCCATTGCTTTTGTGGATTGTATGACATGAGACTAAAAAATAGGATTTTATTAGGATAAAAGTCTCTTTTGCTGGTACTTATTGCACAACACTGTGTCCATCCTTGCATTGCATCCCATTTGTTACTGTTGTGCACCTTTTCACGAGCTGCATCTGCACTGCAGAAATAACCTGGTTCGATACCACTATAGCTGGCCTGGCTCAGTGCTAGGGAATTCTGGGAAGGGTAGTTTGTTGTGGCACCGGCGCCACAACCTCGATTTCCTTGAGTCCCAGTCCAACACTCAGGCCACCATGCTATGCTGAGTCTAGTGCAGGGGTAGGCAACCTGTTCCCTTTAAGGGCCGAGGGACTTCAGCTCCCAGAATCCCAGGAGCTATTGGCCAACATGGGACTATTGGCCAACATGGCTGAGGCTTCTGGGAGCTGAAGTCCCTCGGCCCTTAAAGGGGAAAGGTTGCCTACCCCTGGTCTAGTGCAAAGAGATTTCTTCAGAGGTTTGCCGTTTTCTCTCCCTCTGAGGCTGAGAGAGTGTGACTTGGGCAAGGCCACTCAATCAGTTGCCGTGCCTAAGCAGGGATTCAAATCTTGGTCTCCCAAAGGCCTCCAACACTCACACTGCTCCACCATGCTGGATCCCATTTTTTAAAAAAGAATTCCTCAGAGCAGGTTTGCCATTGCTTTCTTCTGCGGCTGAGAAAGTGTGACTTGCCCAAGTTCACCCATGTTATGGTTGAGCAGGGATTTGAACCTTGGTCCTAGTCCAACACCCAAACCACTATACCACACTGTGTCTCCCCATTCACACACCTTAACTCCGTGTGACCAGATGCCATAACCGCAAAAGGAGGACATGGTGCTGCGAAATGTAGGACATTCGAGGACCATGTACACCATTACCAAATAAAAGCAGAAATATAAATGCATGCTTCTCGGTCATGCGCATAATAGAGGAGATTCTGTAATTCTTCCCCGGGACAAAAGGCTGAAATGTAGGCTCAGGGCTAGGGAATGCTGTACTGTTGTGAGACACTGAGCCTTCCTTCCCTGTCAGAGAGCTCTGGGGCCACAATAAACTACAAATCCCAGGATTCCCTAGCCCTGCGCCAGGGCAGTTAAAGCGGTCTCAAACTGGGTTATTTCTGCAGTGCGTTTGGGACCAAAGTGGTTGTGCCTCCCAAACATTTTGGGAGGAGGGCAGGAGGAGTGTAATAAT